TGAAAAAATACTGCACTCCACCATGTGTCCACGTCTAACCTTTTGCCATCCTTACTCTTACCCTCTTAAAAATTTGGAAGAGAGTCCACAAAATCTACCTTTCTACGTGGTTGAACTTTTAAATCCGTCCACTTTTGTATGGAAAATGTGCCTCCAAAGGAATTACATATAGTGTCATATCTTCAAAATAGCATACGTGCTCCCCTCACATTAAAAGAAATATCCCCAGTGCTGGTGGACACACTGACCACCACCTCATATCTCATGCACCTTACCAAATGATAAAGTCCACTTGCACAAAGGGGGGGGTGAGGCTCCTCTCACTCCACAGCGTATCCGATTCACAATGGCATCATAACATGTGACAAAGTATAGTCAAAATAGTGTAGTAGGCAATGATAGGGATATTGCTCTTTAATCACTTTTCTGCTGAAGGGCATATGGAGCTTCTATACTGTTTGCATGTATGTCTTGCATGTATGTCTTCTAGAGGGTGATCAGTCTTGGCTGATCCCTCTCCTAGGTCGATCTTGTGTAAAGAGGTAGATAGCTTCTTAGAGGTCAAAAACGAGGCAGTTGGAACTCTGCATGCTGAAAATGGCGTTAAAAAGTCTTGACTGTAAAATGGGGAAGAAGGTATACCCTTTTATAGAGGATAGGTAGCAGGAATTTTTGCCTGAGTATTAACGACAAAGCCAATGAGTCCGGTTATCCTTAATTACATAGAAAAAATAATAAATGGATTATATTTATAGATACATAGATCCCAGCCGGGCATCCGCTTTTACCAAGACACTAATAACAGACCAAAAATGTGCCAGAGAAGTAATCCACTGGTAAAGCAGGTCACATAAAAAAAAAAAAAAACGATACAGAGCATAGTAATGCTTTAGACCCAAGACACCACCATAGTAATTCATTGGCTATACATATTCATTCCATAGTATTCATCCCCCATATAAAAACTTCAGCCCCCATATACGTGAATTTGTCCCCCATATAGTAATTCATCCCCCCATATAGTAATTCATCCCCCATAGTAATTCTTTTTCAATTGTTTTCTCAAACTAAAAAAAAAAAAAAAAAAAAAAAAAAAAAAAAAAAAAAAAAAAAAAAAACTTTATCCCCCATAGTAATTTTATACTGGCCCCTTCTCTACATAGTCTTCTGTCATTAAACACTGGTCCCTTGTACCTATTGGCTGTGTTAACAGCTTCTTTGCATAATATACATTGTTGTACTCTTCCCCCCTTTAGCTATATAGTCCCTTTGTAATTCATTGTACCTTAGTACTCTAGACTCCTTGTCCGCATATCATATTTATCACACCTACTTGTGGCCTCCTATCAGATTTTCTGCATCTTTGATGTGAAGGGCTTATGGAGCTTGTATACTGTTTGCAAGTACATCTCCTCCTAGAGGCTTATCCCTCTTGGTTGATCTCAGTGGGCTGAAAGAAAAAACTGAGAGTGTTGCCAACTAACTAACTTTGTTCGAGCAACATTCTCCCCGTATGAGCTATAGTGTTCTGACAGGGAACTCCTCCCCCACAACACACTGATCAGTGCTGGCAGCCATTGGTTGCCAGCGCTGATCAGATGCTGCTATCTCCGGCACATGCTTGTTCAACAGACTCACGGGGACAGATCATTTTTGACAGTATCTTGGCTCAAGTGGGCCGGATTAAACCCAGTCCGCCGGGCCGTATACGGCCCGTATGTAGTTTTTATTTAATATTTGTGAGGGTAATTCAAAGGCAATTGTACACCACGCAAGTCACACTTTCAGACAATATCTCATGAGTACACACTAGTGTCTTGCACACATGGTTGTAAAAACGTTTTATTTTCTATTTAGGGTGATCAAAAGGCTGATCCCTCTCCTAGCGATCTCTGTGTAAAGAGGTAGATAGCTTCTTTTTCAGAAACGAAGAGTTTGGAACTCTGCACTGCTGTCCTGGTGGCGTGCCCAGTCTTGACTGTAAAATGGGGTAAGAAGGTATATCCCTTTTACAGAGGATAGGTTCCATCAGGACCCAAGTTTTTTTCCTGGAGTATTAACGACACAGCCAATGAGTCCGGTTATTCCTTAATCCATAGAAAAATAGATTTTTCTCTCTAATTGGATTGATATATAGATAGATACATAGATCCCAGCCGGGCATCCGCTTTTTCCACAGACACTAATAACAGACCAAAAATGTGCCAGAGAAGTAATCCACTCTGGCTAAAGCAGGTCTCACAAAAAAAAAAAAAAACGATACAGACATATGCTTTAGACAAGACACGCTCAACATGTCCTTGGCTTACATATTTTTCATTGTATTCTCAAACTAAAAAAACTTTAAGACTGACAAAACGCTGAACTTTGTAGTCTAAACTGTATTTTTTACTACTGGCCCCTTCTCTAATCATAGTCTGTGCTGTACATTAAACACTGGTCCCTTGTACAGGTATTGGCTGTGTTTGTGACAGCTTCTTTGCATAATATACATTGTTGTACTCTTCACTCTTTTTCTATATAGTCCACCGTTGTACCTTGTACTCTAGACTCCACTGTCCGCATATCATTGTTATCACAATGCTACTTGTGGCCTCCTATCAGAATTTTCTGCATCTTTGATGTGAAGGGCTTATGGAGCTTGTATACTGTTTGCAAGTACATCTCCTCCTAGAGGCTTATCCCTCTTGGTTGATCTCAGTGGCTGAAAGAAAAAACTGAGAGGTTGCCATACTAACTAAGCGGTGTTCGAGCAACATTCTCCCCGTATGAGCTATTGTGTTCTGACAGGGGAACTCCTCTTCCCACAACACACTGATGATCAGTGCTGGCAGCCATTGGTTGCCAGCGCTGATCAGATGCTGCTATTCCAGCATGCTTGTTCAACAGACTCACGACCGGCTTTTTTTGGACAGGAGCTGTACACTTGGGCCGCAAGTCACACGGTTCTGGTCCGTGAGTACCCAGCCTAAAATCTTGCACACATATCTCATGGAAGTATTTTTAGTTTTATTTACATATTTTTAGAGGGTAATTCAAAAGATTTTTTTTTCTCAAAAGCTGTCCACATGTTTACTGTATATCTTTCCAATTATTTGTAATACTTTTCAGCAGACCCAAGTGTAGAATGTAAAAATGCTTGTAAGAATATATCAGTCTTTTTTATTTCCATCCCCCAAGTGAAATCATTAAAAACTCTCTCTTCTAATTTCCTGTTCTCTTTCCTTTTGCACTCTCTTTTTTTTTTTTTCTCTCTCTCTCTCTTTCCTTGTTGCTCTCCAATCCTTCTCTCTTGCTGTCTTGTCTCTTAAATTCTCAAACTTTACTTCTATCTCATTCTCTTTTCCATTTTTTCTCCCCCGTCTTTCTTTTTCTCTTCCTATTGCTCTCTCTCTTTCCCTTTCTTTCTCTCTCTTTTTATTTTTCTCTCTTTTTTCATCTTCATTTATCTCACTCCATTAGTTCAGTGTCGGTTCACACAACCTCCAAAAATGCATGTGATATGCACAGTGGCACTCTCTGCAGTTCCTGTGCAATTTACATATGCAGTTCATTAATTTTGGATGGACAGATATTGCACCAACAGATACAAGTATTGCATGCACTACTTTTTAACTGCTTGCCGAACAGCCATAGTAGTTATACTGCAGCAGGGTGGCACCAAAATGTGGCAAAATCACGTGTGTCCATGTCCAGATTTTTGCATTTCGGATTTTGTATTTCAGGTAGGATGTGTGCGTGAGGTGTGCAACCGCCCTACCCGCACCGCCAATCGTGGCTGTGGGTGTCAATTACCGAGTCCCGGCCTGTGATTCCCCGACCGGAGCCCGGTGATTACCGGCAAATGAAACGCTATGACAGGGAGACCCAGGAGGGCTGCATTGTTTACAATAAAAAAGCAAGACCCTGTCAGTTTGGGCTCACTGATCAGGATGACTGAGCGCAAGCCAAACCAATCAATGTGCTTACAGTGAAGCACACACCTCCCGCCCCCTAGTGAAACACTCCCATCACACAGTTAACCCTTGATTGCCTTCTAATGTTAAAACACAGTTCCTCCCCAGTGCCATTATGTACAGTGTCAGTGTGTTTTTTTTTTTTGCTGCACTGATCACTGTATGGTGTCAGTGACCCAAGTCAGTTCCCCCTAGTGTCAGAATGTCTGCTGCTGTAGGGCCCACCATAAGTCACTGATTTGCGTCATAAGTCGCTGATCTTCGCAGCCATTATTAGTATAAAAAAAATTCCAGAGTATCTATACCGCCATTTGTAGATGCTATAACTTTCACATAAACCAATTCATTTACATGTATTGGGATATTTTTTAGCAAAGAGATGTCGCAGAATACATTTTGGCCTACATTTATGACAAAATTTTATTTTTTGACATTTTTTTTGCTGGACATGTTTTCCATAGCAAAGAAGTCCAAAATAAGAGTTTTTTTCTCAAAGGTGTCTGTCCTTTTTTTTTTTATAGGAACAAAAAATTTCAGTTATGCACAGGCGTCAGCATACCACCGAAAGAAAGGGTCAATTCATGGGTCCAAAAGATGTAAATTTAGTTTGGGTGCAGCATTTTGCTTGACTGCGCAATAGTCAATTAAAGAAACGCAGCGCCATAAACACAAACCGCTTCTGTAACCACTTTTGTGACCACACTATTTTCAGGATATGCTACAGGGCGCCAACGGGTGTTCGCCATTCACTGTATATATATATATATATATATGTGATTCATGCTCCCATGGTTTTCACGCCCCTCCCAGATGGCGTCAGATTGGCCATCAGTACACCAGTAATCACATTTAACCCCTTGATTGCCAGGAAAACTCTCATACACAATAAACCTCAATTGCTAGTATAGTGTCTGAACGGATCAATATCTTTGATCAGATCAGCACTATACCAGCATTCACATTAGTATAGCGTCCCCCAAAAATGCAGCATTAGCAGGATCAGCCCCCGCACCTGCGTTTAACCCCTAAGCTTACCCCCCCCCCCCCTCTTCCCCAGCAAGTGCAGTGTCAGTAGGTCACTGTCACTTGATACATTGCACACAAAACCGCAGTGTTCGCAGAATCAGCACCCGTACTCCCCCCCCCCCCCCATTCACTGCCCAACCCGGAATTCAGGTGGAAACAGCAAATTTAACTACTCCCGTTGATTTTTTGGAGCTGTTTTTCATGGAAGATCTGTATGCATTGATTGTGGATCAAAGCAATTTATATGCACAACAATTTATCGCCGCCAACACAAAATTCAAACCTTGCCAGACCATTCGCATGGAAACCTATTACAGTTTGCAAATTAAAAATTTTTTTGGGCTAACCCTCAACATCAGTACACCAGTACTGGCAATACCAGGCAATACTAAAACAAATTAATTGCGGTTGTATTGGTCCACAGACCCAATTCATCATATGCTGTGTTCTCTGCTGCCATGGCCAGGCATAGATATGAGAGTATAATGAATGACCCTGAATTTGACCGGCTCCACAAAATTTGGCCCCTCGTAAATCACAACCAAAAGTTTGCAGATGTCTATACTCCCCAGCAAAAAAAGTGCGTTGATGAGTCCCTGATTAATTTTTCTGGCCGCCTTCCATTCAAACAATTTCTCCCTAGCAAGCATGCCAGATATGGGGTCAAGATGTATAAGACCTGTGAGAGGGCAACAGGCTATACATATAAGTTTCGGACTTACGAGGGAAAAGATAGTCACATAGAGCCCCCCTGGATGCCCAGACTACATGGGGAGCAGTGGCAAGATAGTTTGGGACTTAAAACATACATAAATAGTTTTGCGCTAACTCATATAAACATAATACTCCAATAAACAGATTCAAACATGATAGTTCAATCAAAATCTGAAATATAAAGTGCTTGAATGGTGAAAATCAAATAAGGTGCTTGAATGGTGAAGAATCACTACGATGTGCTCCGGATTAAGTTTATTTGAAAAACAAAGTGCTCCACTTTGACTTAGGGTTCCTCCCACCTAAAAATATGTATGGCCACTCACCTTCTACCATGGACACATAAATTAATATAGGTCAACTAAGCATGGCAATTCCAAAAAAAAATGCTCTAGATGGCAGCAGAGAGCTGACGAAGCCATGTGGTTGGGTGGCGTAATGTGTGGGGGCAGACACTAGTGACATCATTGCAGACTTTTTACAGAGCTGGAGTTTTTTGAATTGCAAATCGCTATGTTACTGCTTCTATCATGTGAATGACACTCTGGAATTATTTTATGTGGAATTAGAACAGTATTACACTATGGGAGATGTCCTCTGTTCATTCTATATGTGGAGTTAAGCTGAGAAGACTGTTTATACTGTCATTGAAGGGGTGCCTGTCATCAGCTCTCTGCTGCCATCTAGAGCATCTTTTTTGGAATTGATGTAACAAAGGTATAGCAAGCGCTACGGGTAAGTAAATGTAAGCAGCTAAACACCAAACAAAGGTAACCAAAAAACCTTTCAATAATCAATAAAGGGAGAAAGATAGGTGTAGCGCTTTGAATCAGAGTGCAAAAAGAATACTCAAAAGGTGTATATGTACATATATATGAATATGAGTACAATGATAAACAGTGCGCTAATCAATAAAAGTGTTTAAAGCACACACACAGTCCACATCCCAAATCAATGGTGGTAGGAAGGGTGAAGGGAATCCTAGGAGCGAATAGAGTGCGCACTCACCAGAAGTGCGTAAAAATTACGCATGTAGAGAGATAAACTCCTAAGTATGTCTCTGGCATCAAGGCTCTGGTCAGATCGCACTCCACACCATCCTCTATGGCACCGCGGACCGCAGTAAACCGGATTCCCCAAATGGCAAGGGCGTCAAATGTACTCCTTAGTCCAAAAAAGGCACTGTGGGAGATGGTGCTCTCAAGGAGAGCCCAATAAAGGACGCCACATAGTGTAATGCTGTTTGACTGGAATTTATTGTAGTCAGAGCAAGTAACAAAAAATTGTACTGACCATATAAGTTGGCCACATATAGTGGCTAGATGTCCATGAGCTGTAACCCCCCCCTGACGCGTTTCGTGCGATGCACGTTATCAAAGGGCGCAGGGCTTACAGCAGGACATCTTACCCCATCTATATATGCACAGGAATGGCAATCGCGCTAATCGCGGCGGCCATTTTGCCGGCGTTTCACGCATGCGCAGTACATCGGCGCCATTTTGCCGTGGATCAAGGGAGAATACAATAGTTTCCCCTAGTGCCCATTAAAAACATACAGGGCGGCACTGTATTACAGATAGGAGAAAACCGAATCTCCTGTTTATCTGATAGTCATGGACACAAATACATGACTATATATATAAATTACTATTTATTATATAAAGTAAGCTATTGAGGGGGTACTGGTTACATATGAAAAACCATCTTCAAACAGAAGGAGTAATTAGTTATAATATACTAATATTATGTATATGCATATGTAAATGCATGTAACCAGGTTTGTTAAGTAACAATTGTTTAATAAAATTGGAAGCAGTCGTTTTACATTTAGCTTACCATTCAAATAAAAATAGCATAAATTTATTTTTGCAAAAAATTACTGCGACTTAATAAATAATTATAATAATATAATAGTGCGATGGCCATTTCTATTGCAATAAAATAGATGTAAAAATGATATATTTAAAATCTCATATATTTTATTAAATCTAAATTAAAAAACTAGGTCAGCATAATACATCCAAAATCAGTACATTTCATATGGTCAGAAGAAATCAAACATCAATATTAGTACATGGTAATAAATATTGTACTTAATAAAACAATCTAAGAACATATAAAATAGAATAGAATACGCAATGACAGGTGTGGTGATATTTAGATATTTAGACACTACCAACCACATTCAGTATATGAGTATCATAAATACTAGGACCATATAAACGCACATTAGCTGTCATCAATAAAACAATTTAAGTCAAATTCAATGTTGTGGCCATTAGGGTGTAGAGAACCAAGTTCGTATATCCACTTAGATTCTAGTTGTGAGATCGCTCTTTTTTTATTTTGTCCTCTCCAGTGTGCGTTTATAATTCCTATACCCATAAATATTAATGATGATGGGTCTTTGTTGTGGTGCGTTTTGTAATGGAGGGATAAAGAGTGATCTTTAAAGCCCTTTCTGATGTTGTTAACGTGTTCTTTTAAACGATCTCTCAAACGTCTGGTTGTTCGTCCTATGTATTGTAAGTGGCAAGGGCATTGTATTAGATAAACGACATATTTACTCGTGCAAGTAATAAAGTCGTCAATCTTAAAAATTTTACCATTTGCTGTAGACTTAAAGCTTGTATGCCTACTAGTAAAGTTACTGTTAGTGCAGGTCATACACTTTCTACATGGGTAGAAACCTTTCATTTGTGGAAAAAAAGGAGCATTTAAAGGAGGGTCTAGAACATTTGGGGCTATTCTATTCCCCAAGGGAGTGGCTTTCCTAAAAGCGATCTGTGGTTTATCTGGTAGAAAACGTCTTAAAACGGGGTCTGACATTAAGATCTTCCAATTATTACGAATTATTCTAGTAACTGACTTATGTTGGATTGAATAATTTGTCACAAAAATGTGACAAATTATTCAATCCAACATAAGTCAGTTACTAGAATAATTCGTAATAATTGGAAGATCTTAATGTCAGACCCCGTTTTAAGACGTTTTCTACCAGATAAACCACAGATCGCTTTTAGGAAAGCCACTCCCTTGGGGAATAGAATAGCCCCAAATGTTCTAGACCCTCCTTTAAATGCTCCTTTTTTTCCACAAATGAAAGGTTTCTACCCATGTAGAAAGTGTATGACCTGCACTAACAGTAACTTTACTAGTAGGCATACAAGCTTTAAGTCTACAGCAAATGGTAAAATTTTTAAGATTGACGACTTTATTACTTGCACGAGTAAATATGTCGTTTATCTAATACAATGCCCTTGCCACTTACAATACATAGGACGAACAACCAGACGTTTGAGAGATCGTTTAAAAGAACACGTTAACAACATCAGAAAGGGCTTTAAAGATCACTCTTTATCCCTCCATTACAAAACGCACCACAACAAAGACCCATCATCATTAATATTTATGGGTATAGGAATTATAAACGCACACTGGAGAGGACAAAATAAAAAAAGAGCGATCTCACAACTAGAATCTAAGTGGATATACGAACTTGGTTCTCTACACCCTAATGGCCACAACATTGAATTTGACTTAAATTGTTTTATTGATGACAGCTAATGTGCGTTTATATGGTCCTAGTATTTATGATACTCATATACTGAATGTGGTTGGTAGTGTCTAAATATCTAAATATCACCACACCTGTCATTGCGTATTCTATTCTATTTTATATGTTCTTAGATTGTTTTATTAAGTACAATATTTATTACCATGTACTAATATTGATGTTTGATTTCTTCTGACCATATGAAATGTACTGATTTTGGATGTATTATGCTGACCTAGTTTTTAATTTAGATTTAATAAAATATATGAGATTTTAAATATATCATTTTTACATCTATTTTATTGCAATAGAAATGGCCATCGCACTATTATATTATTATAATTATTTATTAAGTCGCAGTAATTTTTTGCAAAATAAATTTATGCTATTTTTATTTGAATGGTAAGCTAAATGTAAAACGACTGCTTCCAATTTTATTAAACAATTGTTACTTAACAAACCTGGTTACATGCATTTACATATGCATATACATAATATTAGTATATTATAACTAATTACTCCTTCTGTTTGAAGATGGTTTTTCATATGTAACCAGTACCCCCTCAATAGCTTACTTTATATAATAAATAGTAATTTATATATATAGTCATGTATTTGTGTCCATGACTATCAGATAAACAGGAGATTCGGTTTTCTCCTATCTGTAATACAGTGCCGCCCTGTATGTTTTTAATGGGCACTAGGGGAAACTATTGTATTCTCCCTTGATCCACGGCAAAATGGCGCCGATGTACTGCGCATGCGCGAAACGCCGGCAAAATGGCCGCCGCGATTAGCGCGATTGCCATTCCTGTGCATATATAGATGGGGTAAGATGTCCTGCTGTAAGCCCTGCGCCCTTTGATAACGTGCATCGCACGAAACGCGTCAGGGGGGGCTACAGCTCATGGACATCTAGCCACTATATGTGGCCAACTTATATGGTCAGTACAATTTTTTGTTACTTGCTCTGACTACAATAAATTCCAGTCAAACAGCATTACACTATGTGGCGTCCTTTATTGGGCTCTCCTTGAGAGCACCATCTCCCACAGTGCCTTTTTTGGACTAAGGAGTACATTTGACGCCCTTGCCATTTGGGGAATCCGGTTTACTGCGGTCCGCGGTGCCATAGAGGATGGTGTGGAGTGCGATCTGACCAGAGCCTGGATGCCAGAGACATACTTAGGAGTTTATCTCTCTACATGCGTAATTT